GAACATTGGTATTTTTTAGACATTGCATCGCTTGTCTTAATTGAGTAATAATCGCATTGAACAAATTAAAAATTAATAAAAACCCGTGGTAGCTGATGAATCATACTTAAAAATATGCGCGAATTTTATGCTTAGTTATTAATATTATATGGTCAAATTAAAACAGATTTTTCATGATAATTATTTATAATGGAAAGGCCTATAATATAGAATATTGCTTACGACAGTATGACTAGAATTATATGAAAGTCTAGCACGGTCTTCCTATAGGATAGGGCAGGGCAAAAAGGTCCAATTTGACTTTGAGCAATTATATTGTAAAAACCAAACCAATTATATCACAACAAATGACACATATCAAACAAACAACTGTCTGACAATGTTTAGTGAAACTTCAAACTTCCAGCTAAATCGTCGTTGTAGAAATGTTTTGTTTTATGCTGTTTTTCAAAAATTTCACCTGGTCCTTTTTACCCCATATACAAAGGAGCAAACAGGTCATTGTCTTCTTTTTAATTTTGAAGAGATGTTACTAAATAATAGCTGAATTATATTCAACCAATGCAAAATATAAACTTCATGGGTACAATTTTTACAGAGATAACATCGATCTAGTATTTTTTGAGTTGGAATCACTATTTATTTAATTTATCGTTTGTAAAATTGCTTTTTTAAACCTAATTTACTTTCTTATTTACTTTTTTTTATTGTTGCACCTTTGCCAGGGTAAAGGTTCAATTGGTCCTTATTACCCCACCCATGTGTTAGTTTTTATAGAAGATATGTAAAAAACTGTTAAACTTACTCCAAATTAACAATACATCTTATAAAACAATTTAATAACTGAAAAATTATATTAAGGTCTCGTAAGCTAAACAACAATGCTCACAACCAAAAAAACGAAAGAAAATACATTTATTATAGATTTTCAAACATTGCCGTTTATGTCCTGATAGCAACGTTGTAAGAATGAAGATAATGGTTGGTTATACAGATTTTTCCCTCTACTTTCAAATATTGTTATTAAAAAATTCCTAACTTTACTTTGTTTTTGAAATATCGATGGTGTACCTATTCATGATTTTTCTATCTTTATATAGTTATAGATATACGGTCAACCCTCCGACAACACGGTATTCTGAGAACCCTTTGATAACGCGATTTTCATTCTGGTGAGACCGGGAACTGTAAGTGCAACAGCCTTCCCATAACACGATACTCTTATAACAGGGTTTTTTTCCAACAGCCAATAAGTTCCGCCCGCGAAACCAACTCCAGTAACTAAGTATTGTTGTAAAAGGTTTTAATAAAAGTTTTATTATCGATATATACATATGCCAATTTATATCATGGCTGTATACGACATCGGTTTTAGTAGTGTTTTTTATGTGTCTGAAAATTTTTTGTTGAAAATTTATAGTTTAGTTTTTGTTTCATTTTTTTATAATATCCTTACTTATATAGCCTTCAATTCAATACAAAACTAGCTGTAAGTGGAATTCTGTCTTGAGGCAATTATGGCATCGTGCCTTGAGGCAAATTGCTGGAACTTCCCGCACCGTAACGAAATGTTCGAGGAATATTGAATGTTTTCAAATAGATTATTATAAATATTGTAACATTGTCTAATATTTATAAGAATTATATAAACCGAATTGCAGAGTTGAAATTATTTCTAAAGTATATTAGAACTATAGTCAGAATTAAAAATAAAATCTGAAATATTTTCGATATACAAAATACTAAAAAAAAAAAAAAAAAAAAAAAAAAAAAAAAAAAAAAAAATCCAAAATCAATTATTTTGTTAAGACAAGCAGAAAGTTCTTTGAATCATTTAAATCGGACGCTTAGTTCTCTCAAAAACTGCCATTTGTTACATATTTAGCTCCGTATCTTCGAAATGGCTGGGCCTGCCTTTGCCAAAAACTAATAAACACTTCTCCCAATCATTACTAATTGAATGTTTTTTAGATCATTCAAATCGGATACTCCGTTCGCTCAAAATTCGATTTCTATTTTCTGCACTCTTTGCTCCGTATCTCCGAAACGGCTGGACCTGCCTTTGCCAACAACTAATCAGCTCTTTTCCCAATCAATAGGAATCGAATGTTTTTTGAACCATTCAAATCGGTTGATCCGTGCGCCCTAAAACGTGACTGGAAATTTGTATCCACACATACATACACACACACACACACACACACACACACACACATCCATTTTTTCTGAGGTATGCCAAAACGTTCAGAAACCTTCAAAACGTCGAGAAATGTAAAAATTTTCAATTCCGATTTTCGGCCCATTACAATAACTTACCCTACGGGAAGTTAATAATTTATATTTTTTATCACAAGTTTCTTATAACGCGGATTCCATACAACGCGATTGCTGGTCTCTAGACCATGTAAAACGCACTATGAATTAGCTTGGATTACCCATTGTTAAATCCGCGTTATCGGAGGATTTTCTGTATATATATATATATATATATATATATATATATATATATATATATATATATATACAGGTTATTAGTCCGTACAATTCGTGCTCAATGATTATAATATAGTGCCGACATCTCGCTCGAAAAGCAACGACTATTGATATTTTAGTAGTTAATGTTGCTGAGAATACAATGCTTATATTTTCATCCACTTTTTGTTTCAAATATTTCTTTTAATTCTTTTCTGATTTATTTGTCAAACGTTTCGAAAGATTATTTGCTTCATCCTGCGTTATTACAATGTTTATTAAAATTTACAATACTCAATAAATGGATTGTAAAACAGATAATATCTATATGATTTTTATTTTATAATATTTTGCTGGAAATTTCATCACTTTGAACTATTGCACATGCTAATAAAAAGTTGCAATCAACCGACATGACATATTAAAAAACATTATAATATTTTGATTTAAATTACTATAATTATTGTAAAATAAAGAACAATCCTATGAAATTATTTTATCACTCACTTAAATATTAATATGCAAAACTATTTTAAGAAGAGATTATAATCTTGCTATTGAATGATCAATTAACAGAATTATTGGAACATTGCATACTCAAATTTAGGAAATCTAGCAAATTGTTTAATGGAACAATTTCTATATTTTTTAATAAATCATCTAATTAATGTATTTTTTTTGTAGCGTTATTATATTATTTTATTATTTATTATTGTCATTATTAATCACTATTTTTGTTGTTTTTATTTATTCTTATATAGTATATTCTTTTTTAGTATATATTTTAGCAGAGCAGCTCATAGAATGTAATTAGTGTTCTGATTGATAATAATAAATGAATAAAAAAATAGAAAGATTGAGGCAGTTTGCCCTAATACATAATAGTGTAATACAAAAATCGAATAATTTCCATATTCACATCCTACAAGAAATAAACTTAATATATTTGAACAATATAAGGATGATCTTCAAAAGATCTATGCTTTATGCTCTTTAGGATTGCATGTCACATATGTAGCAATTACTAGTAAAACAATTTGTCATGTTTGTCTATTTTTTTAATACTTAAATATGATTTTTGAAATAGAAAATACTTAGACTTTTATCTCTGTTAGTTTAGAAAACAGTTTTAATTATTTATTCAAATGGTTCAGATACAAAATCTAAAAATAAGTGTCGCTTACGAAATTTTTTGTCATTATAAGAAATGTTAATGACACCAATTGAAGATGTTAACATTTGCCATTCGTGTTTAATACAAAAGATATGTGACTGAGCTTGTCAGAGGCAGTGGACGTTGACGTCAATTAGGTTTTTAAATCTCAGGTAATCGCATTTAGTATTCCAAGAATGCCAAAATCTAACTATTATAAACTTAAGACAAGAATTGGTGTTTTTAGCATCTCATTCATCAAGCAAACGGACATAGAATATTAACGAAAAATATTTTAGATCTTTGATCAATTATTTTTAATTTAGTTCAGATATATATATGTATATATATATATATATATATATAAGTATATATATATATATTTATATATATAGGTGTTTCATGGCATAAGGGTTAAACGCGTTGCCTCGTGTGGGCGGGTTCGTGAATTGAAACGGAAGTCCATTTTTACTTGAAAATATTCAAAACATATTAAAATATTTATGCAAATACATTTATGATTAGAAGAAATTTGATTATGATTCGTGTCTTTTACTTCTCTAATCTATCCGTTCGCATTTTGTTTTTAATCTAACATACACTTACAAATATTATTATAAACTATTGGTGTATGACATCGTGCCTAAATAAACAAAACCTAATCAAAAGATTTAAAATGAAGGATGTCTAAAATGTATAAGAATTATATAAATTGATTTGCTAAGTTTCAATTTAAATAAAATTATTTATCTGAAATATATAAGTGAGCTTCAAAACTTTAGCTGTAATTAAAATTAAAATCCGAATTATTTTTGATATTCAAAAAAAAATTTTAAAACACAAGCAGAATTTTTTTTGAATCATTCAAATCGGATGCTTCGTTCTCTCAAAAACTGCCATTTTTTGCACATTTAACTCTGTATCTCTGAAACGAAAGGACCTGCCTTTGTCACTTCTACTTCTTCTCATCAATACAAATTGAATGTTTTTTGGATCATTCGAATCGTTGCTTTGTTCTCCCAAAAAAATCGATTTTTATTTTGTGCACTCTTTGCTCCATATCTCCTAAACGGCCTTTGCCAATAACTAATCTCCCTGTCAATAGGAATCAAATGTTTTTTGAACCATCCAAATGGGTTGATCCGTGCGCCCGAAAACGTAGACGAAAAAATGAGTCCATACATACATACATACACACACACATCCAGTTTTCTAAGGTATGCCAAAATGTTCAGAAACCTTCAAAACGTGAAGATATGCTAAAATTTTCTATTTCGAAATTTGGACGATTACAATAACTTACCTTGCGGAAAATTGATAAATAGTTTAAACTTCATTAGCTTAAATAACATAGTGTCATTTTTTATATAAAAATATGACGCGTAGAGTTCCTCCGCAAAGAAGTGAGACTTGGAACTTATCATTGCTTAAAATTCATAGTTTATCGCAACTTTTACTTATTAGGTACAAGAAATATCTAATTCTACAACATTTTCGCACAATCTGCAACACTTTCAGACAATTTATTATATTTTCAGACTAATCACAACAGTTTTAGACAATCTACAATATTTTCAGACAATAGTCCAGAACATTTGTGGACAATTTACAATATTCTCAGGAAGTTGTTGCTATGTCTTTCTATTTCACCACAGGAGCCTTGAACCCTTGTTGAGAATCGTCTTAGATGTTTAAAAATATTTAAACGTATACTGAATTTTTTAAGTTTATTTTGTCTTAATATACAAACGTGAATTTGTTTTCAATGATATTAATATCAGTATGATTTTGCAGAGACTTCGGGATGTTATTATAATTATCAGCATTACGAAGAATCGGATAGAATAATAACGAACGAGCCATGCCTCAACTGTACATGTCACAATCGAATGCTGATGTGCTACCTGAGGGTATGTCCATTTACCAAACCGATCGGATTAGATTGCGTAATCGAGAAACGTGAAGACCAATGCTGTCCTGTGATAACTTGCCCGGAAGGTAAATATTTCTAACTTATCGCATACAATAATAAGTCTTGCATGAAAGAACTGAATTGCAATAACTTGATCGAAACCTTTCCAGTGCCAGTAGAATTAATGACATCGACGGCATCGTCGACCGACGTAGGACATCTCAATACATACGGATGCAGTATCAAGAACAAGTTTTATCCCGATGGAGCCAGGTTGCCTTCCAATCCACATAATCCATGTGAATTGTGTTACTGCATTAGGAATTCTACGACATGCGTTATGCAAGAATGTACTTTACATGTGCCTGGATGCACACCGATTTATAAGAAGGGATTGTGCTGTCCAGAGCGATATGAGTGTGGTATGCAAATAATATTTATTATGATTAAGATGAATTAATATGATATGTTTAAATATTTTTGCTTTCAAATAGAAATTACAATCTCTTCGAAATGTTCGAAATTTTATTGCATTGCTTGATTTTCAGTTTGAAATATCTGTGCCTGACTATTATATATACATATAATATTATATAATATAATATGATATATATATATATTACTTTCATAGTAATTGAAAGATATTATTATTTTAACAGATCACGATGAAGAGTTGCTTCAATTGGATGATACTACCACTACTGTCAGACCAACGCCGGGATACTTATTGCCAACTACTACGATATCTTCAATATCACAATCATGTATGCATAATAATGAAGAATACGCCGATGGCACTTTAATAATAACGGATAAACCTTGTGAACATTGCTATTGCATGAGAGGAGACATAGTTTGTGCTGTACAAGAATGTGGAACTCCTTTAGAAAACGAAGGCAAAAATTGTACTGCTCTTCCACCAAGAAATGGCCAGTGTTGCCCCGACACGTACATTTGTGGCACCCTTCAAGATGATGAACATACTACTCAATTTGTCGATCACAGCATACCCCTTGCAACTGAAGCATCACCAATTAGTGATAAAAACTTGGTGGATCAAATGACTGAAAATAATGCTTTGTTAACCGAAAAAGACTCAGAAGACAAGGTAGTAGATCAATCTATCTCAACAGAGCAATATACCGAAACAGATAATGAAGTTCATCCTCTTGAGACATTAGATAAAGACTTACCAAATTATACTGCAACAAAACTACCTCCAGAAAGTACAACAGCTAAAGTTTTTAGCGAAGGTTATGAAAACGAAAATGAAGTAGATCATGAGCACGATGATTCTACAGAAAATCAAGACGCTATGGCTATGGCGGGTATTGTAGAAACTGACCAAAAAATGCATTCAGAAAGTCAAGTAACACATATGCCACCGGAACTGATTACAAACAAATTTTTGGAATCTACAGAAAAGCCGTCAGATTCGTATCCATCAGACGAAATAAATGACACCGACGAAACCGTTCATGATTTGAATAAAGAAAACGATAAACATTTTATAACTCAATCAGATGACAATATTATTGAAATTACTACACTTGCTGCTCAATCAATATCTGAAAAAGAAAAACTCACGGTAGGAGATAATACAGCTCCTGAAGAGAGCAATGCCAAACCAACTGAGAACATCGATGAAATTAAACAAGAAACTGGTCCAATAGAACAACAAAATGAAAACGAATTCAACACTACACCTGGAGAACAAAATATAAGTTTTATTGAAAAGGGAACGCAAACATCAACACCGGAGACAGAAGACCACGTTATACAGGAAGATATCTTGAGTACACCAAACGATATTATTGATTCCGAAGGTACAAGTGATAAGAAAATATCTGAATTAGACGAAGCATCTTCACCGGAAGACAAGAAAGAAATCTCGATGGATACCTCAACTACGCAAACATCGGTGGGCGATGAAACCAACTTACTTGAAGGTGATGTACAATCAGTTGATGAGCAAGGAGAAATCACATATAACACAGAAACGACATCATCTCAAATTTCAGTAGAAAAAGCTGTAGAAACCGATCAAACCAATGAAATGAAGGAAGAGATCCCATCTCAATTGCCTGAAAGTCAGGATATGAAACCTTCTGAAGAACAAACTTCAGTTGATTTAGAAACTGTGACAACTGAGAATGCAAAGCCTGCTTTAATTGAATCTGATGTACAATCTGCATCCGAAGATGAGAAAATATTAGACATGAAAGATACTGACAATAAGGAAGATTCGAATGAAAATATTTTAGAAGAGTCCATTACACCAGTTTCAACGGAAGAAATATCAGAAAATAAGGACGATATGGATGATAAAAAACAAAATGTTTTGGATGAATCTATAGCAATCGTAGAACAACCCGAAATTAGCGAAAAAACTAAAGAAGAGCTAGAAAGTGAAAATGAACAAAAAGAAGCGAATGAAGAGAAACTGGATGATAGCAAAGATGAGCAATTACATATTGATGATCTACCACACCAAACTGATGCTAGTACAAATGTATATAATAAACCTGATTATACAACTGAAAAACCTCTATTAACTGATGATGATAATCTACTTCAAATACCTGAAAAATCTTCAGAAAATCAAATCTCTGAGTTAGACAATAGAATTAATTCTGAATCTGTACCAACAGATCAAGATAAAACTTATATAAATGAAAAGGAAGAGACAGATTTAAATCAAGATATCGTTGAAAGTTCGACAAAACATGTTGACGAAGGAGATTATGAAAGTTTACCAGAATCAACTGTTTCAGAAGACAGCATTTCTCACTCATCGAGTGAAGCAGACGTTGAAGATGTTCAATCCATTTCAGATAATTTATCACATATTCCAACCACGGAGGAAAATTTGAAAAATATGGACGATGAGACAAATATGAAAGATGATAAAGAAACAGACATGAATAATACAGAAAAAGAAAAAATGACTGAAAATAACGAAAACTTAGATTCAATCCTTGAACCTGCAGGGGAAACTGATACCATTATATACAATACTGAAAAGAATGAAGAAATGGAGCAAACTGTAACTGAAAAAGACAATTATTCTGAAAAGGATAATGAGCTCGAAATGCATACATCTGAAAAATTGCATGAGAGTGCGACAAAAGAAAGTGAAATTGAAGAAACAAAACTGGAACAACTTGACGAAAAAGATGAGGAAAAAATTGATTTAGAGGAAAGTAGTAAGGCTACTCCTAGTTCATTAGATAATGTGGAACAATTGAATAATGATGTTGTAATAGATGAAAGCAAAAATGAAAATGAGATGAAAGATGTAAGTGATATCGACAGTCAGGTTGAGCAACATGTGACTAGTTCAGATGATATTAAACCGCAGGAACTCGATTCTCAAACACCATCAGGAATTCAAGGTTCTGAGCAAACCACCGAAGAATTGTATTCTGAATCACATAAAGTGCATGACAGCACCGAAAAATTAGAAGAAGAAATTTCTGAATCTGCATCGCAATCATACCCAGCAGAACCGGCGGATAAATTGCCAGAAGAAACGGATGAACATAAAGCCGAAGATGATGAAAATAAATTGAATGAAGAAAAAGTAGAGATAATGTCTCAAGATATAGAACAACATCATGATACGAAAGAAGATTCGAAAATTCCATTCGAAGAAACGTCTTCAACACAGGATCAAAAAGAAAGTGAAGAAGATAGTCCTATTCAAACTATTCAAATACCAAGTAAGGAACAAATTCCAATAGATAAGGAAGAAGAAGTGTCTGATATCAAAGAGCAACATACTGAAGGCCCAACAACTTCAATTGATGAATCAAAACATGACGAGCCTCTAGTTTTAGATGAAAATTTGCCCACTGCCCATATCATTGATGAAGAACTTACAAAACAAGATGCATTACCTGAAAAGGATGTAGAGTCTCATACAGAAAAAGAAGTGCAGTTCCAAACCTCTACAACATTGGATGAAAATAATTTAGGCAGTACTTCTTCATCTAGCACTGAAGAAAATGCTAAAACTGAACATGATTCATTAACAAAACAAAAACCAGGGTCAGAAATTGAATACAACAACGAAGAAGATGTAAGTACTATACTGAGCAACGATGACATCAAGAATGAAGAACACACTATTACAGAAAGCAGCGTCCCTGGAGATATTAATGAATCTTATGTCAAGCCTACTCAATTATCAGAAATATCAACATCTTCTACTGAAGGTAAAACGAACGAAGTAACTGAAGATCAAGTAACTGAAACTGCGGTTTCTCCCGATTTTAATGTTATCAAGCCAGGTGATAAAGAAACCGAAGTAGACAGTGATGAAAAGACGAATATTCAAGAAGAAGAAACTCACAGTTCTTTAGAAGACACATCTGTAACCGAAAGTGTAGATGATGAAAAGCAATCCGATATTCAGAAACCTATCAGCGATGAAAAGATATCTGAAACAAATGAACAAGAAATTGAATCCGATGTTCAGAAACCTATTAGCGAAGAAAATATACCCGAAAAAGATGAACAAATAATGGAATCCGATGTTCAGAAACCTATCAGCGATGAAAAGATATCTGAAATAGAAAAACAACAAACTGAAACCCCATCAACTGAAATTTCTGAGAGTCAAACAGAAAGCACAAATGATGATATAAAACAATCGTCAGATGATCAAAATTCTGCTATAACAAATCAGGATGAAAAATTGGCAGACAGCAAACCAACTAACGATAAGGAATTTGATGATATTAGCATGAGCATTGTTACAGAAATAAGCGTACATGATGAAAATGCTGTAACTCAACAATCAGGAGTTCACGAAGAAACTGATGAAGATAAGCAAGGTCAAATCTACTCTACTGCTAAGCCATTATTAGATGATTCAATTAACGAACACGATTTAGATAACTCTCACATTGAGTCTTTAGAAGATCAATCTCATTTAACATCTAGTCCATTATCAGACAATCTCCCTTCAAATAACCAGGACGATTCCGTTTCAACTGCAAAGCCATTATTTGAGGACCAATCGTCTGACGAAACGACTTCTAAATTCACAGAACCTGTTGAAAGTCATGACGATGAATTACCTTCAACTAAATCTCCATTAACGGAAAGTTTGGATTCGAATGAACAAAATAAAGATGCACAAACTGACGAAAATAATGTAGATTTTAATTCTCAATCTACCTCTGGACCATTGTTAGACTCTTTGCTTCACAATAAACCAACAGTTCTTCCAGATGCTGAAAAAACTAAAAACGATGACTCTAAACCATCCGAAGAGCATCAAACTACTGTTGAAGATGTTACAGACTTATTGGAAACTAAAATACCTGATGTTAGTGAATCTGGAGAACAAATCAAAGATCCATCTGACGATGTAAAATCAGAATTAGATCAAAATCTTACAGATAGCTCACACGACAGTGAACCATCTACTGAAGAAAATAAAGATTCTGAATCAGAACAACATGAATCAAATGAAATTCAATCTACAACTGCTTCAATATCAAGTAGTGAAGCAGCTACACAAGAATCGGATGGTCCAATTTCAGCTGAGCAAACTAAAGAAACACCGGATAAATCTGAAGATGAAGATGATTCTCACCCGATATTAGAATCATCATCAATTAAATCACCTGTTGAGATACAAGATAACGATAGCTTGGATTCAGTGACTTCAGATATAGATGCATCTCACTCAACTTCGAGACCAACTGTAGCTAGTTCTGATATGCCCGATACGTTGGATGCTGAAAAGTCGGTAGATGATAAACCAACATTGGCTCCTGAATCAACGCATATTAACTTACCTACTGATGAAAATAATGATGCTGTATCACAAATTGATGAAAATATTGATGCAATATCAGATAATAATAAGATTCAAGTAACTACATATAGTTCCAATATTGAAACAGAAGAAAAAGAATCGACAAAACTTACTACCCCTACTCATCAAACCGATTTATCTGATTCTCAGATAACAGAACCAAGTGATAAAAATTCACTTCTTTCAGAAGATCAAAACGTAGATGCTACGACGCCTGAACAAGATAAAGAAGAACTAGTTGAAGAGGATGAAGATTTACTACAATATAAGCCAGCTGCAATACCAGGAGAAGGTTCATGTTTAGTGGAAGGTGTAACTTATGCAAATAATACCTCTATTCCTTCGAATAATAAATGTCAAATTGGGTGCTTCTGTTTGAGTAGCGTTATAAAATGTGATGCAATCAATTGTGCGCCGCCTCCACCCAATATGGTTAGATGCCAACCAGTATATCACGGGCTTGATTGCTGTCCCACTTATGTGTGTGAAGGTTTTGAACAAGTTACCTTAAAATCAGACAGTTATATGGCAGAAACTCATGTTACCAGATCGCCAAGCGAAAATGACATTTCAGATAACGCAAGCACCGCTGTTGTAGATCATCGTCCAGAAGAGTCAGGTATAGAAAATTATTATTATTATTATTTTAGTATTTATTAATAAATATTTGTTTTAATAAACTGTCTTTTAAAGAACGCCGGTTAAGGTTTTAAAGTAGAATAATCGTTTGATTAAGGGTAATTTTAATTTTTATTAAAATTAAAGTTTTACGTTGTTTTTATATCACCTTATATATATATATATATATATATATATATAATATAATATAATATAAACATACATGTATATACTTTACAGATCATCATACGGAAGAACAAACTAAAGAGGCAACTTCGGAGGGATATTTGGACGAGATGCAAACTCATAAGTTAGATGACGTTGCAACTGCCGCTCCGGAAATGCAATCGGAACCATTGCCGACAAGCATTAGTTCAGAAAATATTGATATAAATGATAGAATACAATCTGAAAACATGACAACATCAAAGGATGATTTATCACAACAAGAAATTTTGCCAGCTCATTCCCACGATGATAGCATTGCAGATATTTCTACTGAAAATGATATTATTTCAGACGCGGAGGAACATGAAAAAGAAATCATATCTGAAACAAGTACAAAGGATACTACAAAACTAGTAGAAGACACAAAAGTTGAATCACCAGATATTGAAAAACCAGATTCAGAAGATAGTTCAATTGAACCTGATGTAAATTGTCTCTCAAGGACGATGAATCTGAAATGAATAAGGATACACTGAATGAAATTACCGATTCCACTACGCACAAAGAACACTTACTGCTACTAGTCCAAATGTGTCGGATCCTTCCGATGACCACCACAAAGACGAGAACGTTGATAAAACTGATAAACCTGAAGTATCTCAAGTGTTACATGCTGATGATGAAGTCGGTTCAGATGAAGAAGCAAACGTTGATAGTCATTCCATATCTGATGAATCTTTAACAGTTGACGATCACATAGATGATCTGCATAAAGAACCCGAAATCATGGAGGAGCACATTGAGCATGATCACAATATTCCAGAACACGATCCGTTCTTGCAAAACCATACTTTAGTCGATGAATCCACTGGCGATGAACATTTAGACAACCAATTTCCTCAACCGTCTTATGGTCAAGATTATGAAGACGAAAACGATGAACAAGACGCTGCTTTTGGCCCGGGTACTTGCCGATATGGAGGAAAGGTTTACGTTAGCGCTCAGCAAATTCCAAGAGATGATCCCTGTGATTTCTGTTTCTGTTTCCGCAGTGATATAATTTGTCTGCAACAGAGCTGTCCGCCTCCAATTCGAGGTTGCCATGAAGAACCAATATCCGGTTTTTGTTGTCCAAGGTTTGTAATTCTTAATAGAATTTCTAGAAATATCTTGAATTATCTTTTCAATGTTTTTTTTATATTTTTCTTGAACACGAGAATGAATGTTAAAATCGATACATTTACAACGTCGAATAATTTTGACAAACCTCAAATAAAATGTTGATGAATTATAGTATTGTATTTAAAATTAATCTATTGATTTTATTGCTCAGATACGAATGTCCTGTATCAATGGCAACTGTATTAAATGTATCGACGACTACGACGACGACGACAACGACGCTGCCGCCGCACTTCTCGCATCACGCCTATAACGGCGCTGCGACCAAAACGGGTTGTCAAATAGGCGGTCAGGCGTACACTGTAGGAGAGGTTGTACGTAGCGCCAGTGGGCCATGTCTTCATTGCATGTGAGTATTATATTTAAATATCATGCTTTATACCTAAAACTTAATCTACTACACTAGCGATATGTTCCGTTCCGAGAATATGTATTACAAATTTCTTAATATTCATAGATGCAGTGTGAACCTAAAGTTTGTAGTCCAGAACCAATGCTGAGGCAAATGATTGCTGCAGCGTCGAGCCGCCGAAGAAGATGAAGATTTTTAAATCCTTAATTATTTTACTAAATTATGATGTGAATTTATCGCAAATTTATTGCATAAACTTTAAATTAAAGCTTAACGATAGCCAGTGCCATGGTATACGTGATGAAAAATTAAGCAACTAATATTCAAACAAAATCTCTCAGTAATCAAATGCGGAAGTAACCGAACTGAGTTTTTATTCAAATATATAGCAGTACTTCTTCTTATTCTGACATTCGTGAAGAAACGCCTCTTAAGAGCGTATTATGTACCAGCATTACATGATGAAGTATTTTGTTGAGAGATGTTTTTTACGTACTTCAAAAATTACAATCTACGTTATATATATATATATATATATATATATATATATATATATATATATATAGATATATGTACTTTGTGTCTAAACTGCGTACGAGTGTATGTATATATTCATGCTCGTATATGTGTATAACATATTATTGAAACAATCATAGTTCCGTTTGGTTTTTTTATATAAATAGAAATCGACTGAGAACGTTTATTAAATTATTTACTATTGGTGCATAAATTTTGTTCGTAGATTTAGAAGTCAAATTTTCAAATTTCGAAGAAATAATACGTGATCATCTTGCAGCCATGAATCACTAAGTTTTGATGTAGATATACATTTATATAATTGTCTAATAGTATAAATAATTTAGCGAATAAAAATGCAAGTGAAATGCATGTAGAGAAATAGTTTTACTAATTACCGTATTTAAAGTCAGTCAATGTGTCTAAAAATTAGTGATTATTCAAGTGGCTTAAGGCATGATCGCCATGTATTTGGAGTTTGAAAATTATGTAAATTATAAAATAAATTTATTGATATAAATAATAAACTAAAGGAATTTTATAATATTTTTGTATTCGAGTATTAATTCGATATTTAGCAAACACATGCTAAATAACACTTGAATCGTTTGATTGTATAGAAATCGATTAAATTTTATAATTAAAATTTTTTAAAACTAATTTGGTTTAATGATTTCTGTAACTTGAATAATTCAAGTATCGAGAACTTTGTATACATAACTGTAAGTTTTATTTGTATCTATCATTATTAAGTAATTATTACTCATTAGAATATCGGTATCACAAATAGACCCTTGATTGGGTCTTATGCATACAATTGAAATATTGATTCAAATTATGTATGTGTGTCTCCATGTGTGTGTTTGCAAATAAAT